CTCTGCCCCTCAAAAAACGGAGGACAAAAAACTTCTATAGACATTTTCTTTAAGCACTTTGACTGTCTGAACCAAATGGGGATGCATAATTGTGGAAGTAACTAGAGCCCTTGAATATAATTGCACTCATACGTCAAATAAGACAATTTGTAACAATTCCATCCAGCACTTTAATTTTGTCTGTTAAATTATTCATGTGAATACTTTTATAAGTTTATCCATGAATATTTAGCTGGTTGTTGATTCATAACCATAAGCTATTTTATCATTTCATTTTTCTCATGATGTCCAATTAACAGCTATGTGAAGGTAGAGAAAAGTTATTCTTGGTAATACGAGTCACGCCTTTCCCCACTGACTTACTGAGGTGGTCCGTGACCATATACTATGATTGGAAGTTACGGCTATTTTGACAGTGTAATACATGTTCTAGTAGTAACCATCATAATATAGAGATAAATACTACAAATTCTTATTTTACCACTAAAGGACATTAAGAAAGGTTAAGTAGTCTTCTAAAAATCACACAGTATGCTGGTGGGTAAGATTGGATTCATATCCAAGAATATGTAGACTGAATTTCTTCCACGCCACCATGATGCACAGGCAGATCCCCAGTGAACCAGGCCAGTGGCAGCTTGCCCATCATTCTCAATCTTGGCTGCTATCACCAGGGACAATTTGCCAACTAGATATCCAGAATGCTCTTGTCTGCTAGTGAACAGGAATTTATGAGTTTCACATGTCACATACATACATGAGACCATGTAATTATAACCCCTCTGTATGGTATTTTCACAATAAAAAAATTCTATAAACGTATATACATAGGAGGCATGCAATTTGGCAGGATGTAAGTGTGGATGGCTAGTGGTAGATGTCAAAAGTACTGAGTAAATGCTAGTATATGTGGGATGTGACTTTTGATGGTAGTGACTAGGTGAGGGCAAGAATAACTGGGCCAGCATGGCCCCTTCACCTATACAGAGACTGATCCTGTATTTGCAGGAGAAAGCTCCTTGGGCAAGATCCAGTGAAGGCATCAATAATTACTTGTAGAAATCTAATGAAAAGGGAACCTGATCACATTTCTAATCATTTATCTTGAGTTAGATACAGCCCATAATTATATTAGTGGAGCTGCATACCTAAAAGCATGAATTGGTATTATGCAGTAATCTATCTTAATACAATGATCAAGAAGGTCATACCTAAATGAGAGGGTCATATTTAATGTAATTATATACATTTCCTAGTGCTAAAATATCGCTATACACTAAGTTAATACTGCATTAGGGGAGCTGCATATAAGTCACCAGGGATAATGCATCAAATTATCACTACAACCCATCTGAACATCAGAATCCCCAAGGAAGTTATAATAAATGCATTGTGTGTGTGTGTGTGTGTGTGTGTGTGTGTGTGTGTGTGTGTGTGTGTGTGTGTGTGTTGGTACTGGGGCTTGAACTCAAGTCCTGCATGTCATCCCTTAGCTTTTTCACTCAAGGCCACTCTACCATTTGAGCCACACCTCAATTTCTGGATTATTTTTGTTGATTAATTAGAGAGAAGAGTCTCACAGTCTTTCCTGTCTGCCCTGACTTTGAGTCACAATCCCCAAATTACACTCCTGAATAGTTTAGATAATAGTTGTGAACCACTGGCAAAGATGCATATTTTTCTTTTGCTTGTGCAATGAGGCCTGGAAACCAGTCCTTTTAAATTTGATTTTAATTGTTTAATTTAATTAAAAATTATCTCTAAGTAGTTGTACAGAGGAGTTTCAATTCAAAATGTCAGTTTATAAAGCACAAGACTGTGTATATGTTTTATGTAAGTTTATAATTTAGATCTAACTCCCACATAACATGTACCCATTGTCTCTTTGAACTTACATCACTCAACATAATTTTTTTCAAGTCCATCCATTTCCCTGAAAATGATATAAAATTACCTTTACTGATGAAGAAAATTCATATACATATTTACATTAACATACACTCATATACATTCTCTCTAGATACTATGTATATGTGTATATGTGAATATATATGTAAATATACTATACTATATGGTATATATAGTATATACATATATATCATATAGTTATACAATATATAGTATAGTATATATATATATATATAAATATATATATACCACACACACACACACACACACACACACACACACACACACACACCCCGTTTTCTTCATCCACTAGTCCATTGTCAGGCGTCTGGGCTGGGAAATCACCCTTTTAATAATGTCAAGTGAGTCTGATATGTAGCTTGGTATAAGACCAATCCTCAGAGCACTGCTTTCTATACAGTGAATGTTTTATACATTTGAAAGTCTAATCAGGTCGTTCCTGGTGAATTTGTCTTCAGTCTAGTTCAGAGGACTGTCTGGGGGCTCTTATGCCTTGGTTTCTCTCCATCATTCACTCCCATCCCTTACTGCTATAACACAAGTAAGTCCTAAATTCTCCTCTCATCACTAGTCTTCACAGCAGGTGCCATGCTTATGTGTGTCTCTTGCTTGGGGATTTAAATTTATGTTTCTTTGTCTTCCTGAAAATGCCTCTTGGGTCCTAAGGCCGTGTCCTGAACTTCTTCAGCGCTTCCTGCTTGCTCCTCCTCGCACAGTCAGGGTTTTCCCTGACTATAACACTGTATTCAGTGGTGTTGGTTGGGTTATTTATTTACATTTCTATCTCAAGCCCTCTCTGTTAAACATATTTTCTTGACGGAAATCAAATAGCCCAATGCCTGCCTCACATGTGGAGCATCAGTGAATACTTTAGACCAATGAAATAGTAAGTTCAGAGAGGCATTTTCACCTGAAAATATGCTCCCACAGCTCTAATCTGAACCCTATCACGCCTATTTTAGCTATGAACTGGGTGCTGATGGCTCACATCTGTAAATCCTGGCTAGACAGGAGGCCAATAGCTGAAAATCATAGTCTGAAGCCAGCCAGGGCAGGAAAGTCTGTGAAGCTCTGCAGAATTTTGAAGTGAGCTATGGCTCAAACGATAGAGTACTGGCCTTGGGCAAAAAAAGCTCAGAGCCAGTGCCCAGACCCCGAATTTAAGCCCTACGACCAGGGTAGGGGAAAAAAAAAGAACAGCATTGGCCAGGTGCTCACAGCTGTAATTTTAGCTATTCAGGAGGCTAAGATCTGAGGATGGGTTTGAAACCAGCCTGGGTAGGAAAGTCTATGAGATTCTTGTTGCCAATTAGCCATCAGACACCAAGCAGCTGGAATTATGGATCAAGTGGTAGAGTGCCACCCGTGAATGAGAAAGCTAAGAGTGTCTAGTCCTTGAGTACCAGAACAGACACATGCGTGCACAGATGCGTGTGCGCATGCACGCGCACACACACACACACACACACACACACACACACACACCCAGAAAACTGCTTTGCTGATCTATTTACTGCATAACTGCATTTTCTTTAGTATTTATGAATTTTTTTGTACAGCTGTTCTCCCATTAAGATTCCTGTGTAATATACTTGGAATTGCATTTTCTGGAGTATTTTAGAGGGGATCACTGGGGAAAAACTGTTCATGTGGATAATTCTATGTCATAGTGACTTTTGGTTTCTTCTCGATGGTACTGAGGCTTGAACCCAGGATCTTGCACTTGTTTGGCAAATACTTGACCACTTGAGCTATCATGTGGATGACTGGTCAAGCTCAGCCTTCCTGCAGGATACTGTTTGAAACCATTGTTCTGGGTCTGCCTCACTTTTTGCCATTGACTTTTCCTCTAGGCAGGCATGTAGAGATTTCTTTTGGAAGTGAGCTCTTGAGGGTGTGTGAGTAGATCAATGGTGTACCAGTCACTTTTTCCTTTTGAATTTGAGTTGTTGACTTTTATAGTCATTGAGAACTGCTTAGAGAGAACAAGAAGGAGGGAGGGACAGGGTTGATTGTACAGGCCCAGTGGACTCAGGACTGCCATGGTTTTGAGGACTGACTGGCTCCTCTCAGTGGGTGGGGGGTAGAGTGGGGGTGGGGGTATAAGTTGTGGGAGGGGCTGAGGAAGGTGGATCTGAGGGAAAGTAGCTGTCAGAAATGTTTTCCTGAGAACCACTCCGCGCACTCATCATTTAGAACTGAGAGAAATACAGAAGAGGGATGTAAGGTCTAAGCAGGGAGAGAAACTCTTCAGGATCCGCCTCCCCAGTTGCCACAGTCAACTGATCTGTGGTTAGGACTCACAGAATCTTCTGCTCTTTTTTTTTTTTTTTTTAATTCCAGTCCTGAGGCTTGAGCTCAGGGCTTGGGCTCTGTCCCTGTACTTTATTTGTTCAAGGTTAATGCTCAATGCACTAGCATTGCAACTTGACTTCTGTTTTATCTTTTTTTTTCTTCTGATGACTAATTGGCGATAAGTCTTACATGCTTTTCTGCTCCAACTGGCTTTAAACAGTGATGCTCAGATCACCGATTCTTGAGTAGCTAGGATTACAGGTGTGTGCCACTGGTGTCCAACTCATTTTAAATCTTTGATGGCTAGAATCTGCCTATGCATCAGGCTTTCTTTCAAACTAATAAAGGTAAATAGTAAGGTTGGGAATGTGGCTTGGTGGTAGACTACTTGCCTAGCATGTATGAGGTCCTGATTTTAATTCTTTGGTACCGCATAAAAAATAAATAAAACTAAAAAATAAATAGAAGTCATGTATTTTAAAATAAAAGAGCATGATCAACCCACAGTGGTGGCTGGTTATGTATTTAATGCTGTGAGACACAAGGTCCATCTTTCCCCTCCTTATAGAATGGGGATGCACAGAGCCCAGATGTGGTCCTTTGGATATGGAATCCAGCTCTTATTTGCTGTGGGGAGGCCGCACAGGTTATCTTCCTATGGCTGAAGGGCACTCTAATGTCACCTATAGCTACATGAAGAGATTCCTTAAGACCAAGTAAGTGTTGGGAACCTGATTTATTCATATCTGACTCTGCTGACCTTCCTACCCCTGCAGGTGACCCTCCTGCATGGAATCCACCAGAGAAGACCTTATCTGTGCCCGTGCAGGGCCACCAGCTGCTTCTGGCACAGGTGACTGCCCTCCTGAGGAAGAGGTTATACCACACTCTGCGGGCCTGGAAAAGCACCATCTCCAACCTGCTGCTGCCTGTTCTCTTTGTGGCCTTGGCCATGAGCATGTTTATGGTACAGCCTTTGGCCACCACGTACCCTCCCCTCAAACTGACACCTGGCCATTATGAAAGGGCAGAAACCTATTTTTTCAGGTAAGACACTTTTGCTCTGATCTTTAGATACTATTAATTTTTGTTGCCCAGAGACAAATAGCAATAGATTTATCATTTTTAAAAGAATTTCAAATTAAGTTTTCTTAATATAAAGAGCTGGAGATATAGGTCAGTGGTAAGAGTATTGTCAAGCATGTCCATAGCCCTGGGTTTTGTCCTTAGCATCTCAGAATGTTCAAATATATGTGCTTTCTCTTCTTTCTTTCTTTCCTTCTCCTTCCTTCCTTCCTTCCTTCCTTCCTTCCTTCCTTCCTTCCTTCCTTCCTTCCTTCCTTCCTTCCTATCTTGCTTTCTTGCTTTCTTGTTTCTTGCTTTCTTTCTCATTATTATCATTATTTGATAGCAAATGCAAAATTGTATTAAAAAGCTGTCACTACAAAAGAAATCAACTTCTGTTTTTGAGTATTTTTACTATCTTTAAGCTGTTTTACAAAGGAGCTGCCATTCACTGACACACTTTATGAATACAGTGCATCTTGATTAATGTCACCCCTTTCGACATCACTTCTGAGGCTGATGTTTTAGAAATATTACATATGCAAAAACTATATGACATATGAAACAAAATATGTATTCACTAAAGTCAGAATACTTAGTAAAACTATGAACTTCTGCTGTGAACTAGTAATTAATTCCACCTCATCCTTACAGAGACTATTCAAATATTGCAAAGCACAAAACATGGAGAATATCCTACAGAGCAAAGTAAGCCAGGCCAGAAAGACAAGGGGCACATGATTTCTATCATATGTTGATTTAGATCCCAGATACAACCTCTCTTATAAACACACATAGAGGCATATGCTTATATACCTGATTTAGCTGACTAATGCCTAGTATATACAGGAGTGAAGCTTAAGTAAAAGCCTTTTGGGCAATTAGCAGTTTAACAAAATGAATATGAGGAAGCTGAAACATGATTGTAAGGGAAATCTAGCACGAGTGGTGTGGATGAATGAAAAAGGAAATAGGAGATAAATATAGCTAGAATACTCAATGTATGTGATACCATTTGTGATACAGAAGTGGGAAATGTCAAATTAGTCGGGGGCTGGGGAGGTAAAATGGAAGAAATGATGGAACAGACGGGATGGAAGAACAGATGAAAGGAATGATGGAAGGGGTGAATCTCATCAAGATGCCCTGGACCCTTACAGTCATATTAACTGGTGTCACCTTGTATAATGTTTTAACATTCAGAAAATTAAAAAAAAAAAGTTTCCCTGTGAGATACTTTCTATTATGTCTGAGGTCAGAGTTTACAGGGCCGACCTTTGAGAGGTTCTTGGATTTTTAGGGCTGTCCCACACAGATGTTTAAGCTGTTAGGAGCAGGTTTGTCTCTGAAACCTGCACATGGCCACCAAGTATGCTGAGAGGGAACAGGAGTCCTCCTACAGAGATGAAAAGGTCTCTGATCACACTGAGCCCAAGTCCTTCACAGGAAGTAGAAAGGCTAGGTATCATCAAGAAATTCCAGGAATTTACACATTCACAAAACCCTGCACTGTTTACCCCAAACACAACGGTTCACGATTGTCTTCCCCTGTCCATAAGGAACTGCAGAGTTCTCATTTGTGCAGAACGTGATAAATGAGCCCATAAACACCTGTGTAGTTTAGGATTCACAGGCAGTAAATTCAGAAAAGTCCAGATTTTTTTTCCACCTAATTAATTCAGACCAATGTGTCTCAGAGTTTCCCGAGTTGTAGATTCACAACCATCCGGTTAGGAAGCTGAAGGAGAAACCTTCATCACTCCTCCCCTCTGCCTTGGTTTTGCTGGCTTCTCGCCAGATTGACCAGTGACTTCTTTGCCACAACTCACTTTCCCAGGAGAACACTATTGATCTCTTCTGAAGGTAGGGCCCCATGCTTTGATTATCTCTTACTCTTCCAGTTTCCACTACCTCAATAGGTCCTGCCACAATGGTGACCACATTTCCAGTTCAAGAACTTTTGGGGAACACTTTCCAACCATTGTGAGGAAAGGTGGATACTGAGTAACAGTTTTCACCAGCCCAGCAGGGGAGCCATTTGGTGAAGGCAAGGCAGGTTTCTATAATTTAAAAGGCTGTGGTGCCTGAACTGAATCTTCAGAGATAATTTTGCCTTTCCTAAAGTGGGAGGAATAATGAAGGTAATGGAACCAGTGTTTCCGTTTCCTGGCAGGTGCTGTGAGATTTTCTAAGGATAACGGTTTTTTTTTTTCTTTCTTTCTGCAGAAGGAAGATATTTGCAAGTTTTAACCTCTGGGGGTTTCTGTAATGGGGATTACTTTTATAACTTCTAAGCACACACTTTAGTTGGACCAGGTCATCTTTTTATGGTTGACTTTTTTCTGTCTTGAGCATTGTTAAGATCTCTATCCTTGGAGTATAGAATTTATTTTCCCTTTCTTTTTTCCCCCCTTCAGCAAACCTATAAACCTATAGATTCTTTCTTTCTTTTTGCTTTTGAGTTCAAGAAAATTTTACTCTATCTCTGACTTAATTACTTCTTCACTTTCATATTTCCTTTATCTCTTTCTATAAGGTCCAGCTACATCTCATATTAGGATCGCTCTGATCTATTTTCTAAGTTACATTTAGTAAAATGGTTATTATCTACATCCATACTACCCTGAATGTGCTTGATCTTGTCTAAAAAGGTTACTTTTCTTCTTTTTATTTTCTGCTTGATATATTTCTCCTTTAGTACCATGTTATATATAATGTACATTATATATGTGTGTGTGTGTGTGTGTGTGTGTGTGTGTGTGTGTGTGTATAGTACCAGTCCTGTGATTGAACTCAAGGCCTGAGCTATGTCTCTGAGCTTTTTTGCTTAAGTATAGGACTCTACCACATAAGGCACAGCTCCACTTCCAGCACTTTGGTGGTTAATTGGAGATGAGTTCACTGGGCTTTCCTGTCAGATCTGACTTTGAACTACAATCCTCAGATCTCAGATCTCAGGCTCCTAGATAGATAGGATTACAAGTGTAAGCCACCAGAGCCCAATCTGATATTTGTACCTAAACAGTGAACATAAATACTCTATTGTGCTGGTCCTGGAGCTTGAACTCAGGGCCTAGGCACTGTTCCTGAGCCTCTTTGTGCTCAAGACTAGCACTCTACCACTTCAGCCACAGTGCCAGTGCCAGCTTTTTCTGAGAATCTTATGGGAGATAAGAGTCTCACAGACTTTCCTTACTCAAACTGGCTTTGAACTACAATCTTTAGATCTCAACCTCCCAAGTAGCTAGGATTACAGGCAAGAGCCACCAGAGCCTGGCTGTACTCTTGATTTATATCTTCAATACCATGTTGAGGAACCCTGTTTCCTGGGTTCTTTTTCTCTCTCTGTGTGTGTGTGTGTGTGTGTGTGTGTGTGTGTGTGTGTGTGTGTCCATTCTGGGACTTGAACTCAGGACCTCATGTGCTCACTTGGCTTTTTTACTCAAGGAAAGCTCTCGACTATTTGAGTCATACTTTTTTTTTTTTCTGGTTAATTCAGAGATAGGAGTCTCAGGAACTTTTCTGTTTTGCTGGCTTCAAATCTTCATCCTCAGATCTCAGCATCCTGAGTAGTTAGACGTACAGGCAAGAACTGATATAGGGATGAGGCACTGCTTCTTAACTCTGCTTCTTTCGGCTGCTTAAATTGTGTATTCTCTCAGTGGCTTCATTCCGAATAGAAGTCTACACTATTGGAGTTTCCCTCTGATTTGTGGGGGGTGTGGTTGTCCTTCCTATTTAGTCAGTAAGGATAATATAACGATGAGATCAGATAAGGATACTGCTTGCTGACTGGAGGCAATTCTGTGAGAAGTAGAGCAAATACCTCCTACTGAGGAGACTCAGGTGGTTGACAATGCTGCCTGTCTCCCTTTTCCTGAGAGAACTGAAAGAAACATTCCACTCTACAGTCAATCTGATTCAAGAATAAGAAAGTATCGCTCCCTCCAGTTATTCAGAGGAGGCTGAGGTCAGCTTCCCATGGGGACTTCCAGGTCCCTGAGAGTTACCTGTTGATGAGACTTGGCTTTGATACAGGACTCAGTCTCAGCCTGTCCCATTGTCTTGTGCTTGTCTTGTGGCCTGGTCTCAGGGCCCAGAGCTCATTTTGCTCAAGGATAGTGCTCTAGCCACTTGAGCCATAGCTCAAATTCTGGCCTTTTTGGTGGTTAATTGGCCATAAGAGTTTCATGAATGACTTTGAACTTCAGTCCTCAGATCCTAGCCTCCTGAGTGGCTAGCATTATAGCTGTGAGCCCCCAGCCCCCAGTTCATTGTCTTTCATTCTAGTCATGGTGGTAGAGACTCATGTCTGTTCAGTGATAAGCTCCCAGAAAAGTTAAAACTATTTAGTATATTTAAATTATTTAATATATTTAGTAAATTTAAACTATTTTATATATTTAAGAAATTGTAAAGTTGATATTTCCCTATTTTTAAATCTTATTTATTTTCTCTGATGCACAAGATTTGATAGACTATGCCCAAATTATTTTAATTATTGATAGAATAGAAATCTGTTGACAAATAGTGTCACTGCTGTTAGGCTTGTTACTCCTGGAAGGTAGAAAGCAATGTCTGGCAGAAGACAAGAATCAGTATTTTCTATTTCAGCAATAAAAGATCTTCAGAGAGGCCTAAGAACAAAACATTTCACCTTTAGTTTCGTATAATCAAATCCAACGTAAAGAAAGATATGTCCTAGAATTGGTCAGATAAGTTGATGTTAGGCGAAATGAACCCCAAGATAATGACTCAAATGGTTTTTCTATTGTTTCTAACATATTTGTAAGATAATTATTTTCGTTGCTTTGTATGTCCTTCTCCCACGGTATAACCCCTGTTTTCACTGTATTTGATATTGGTATAATTTGGAGAGGGGAAGGGAAAAAACAAATTGTTTAAATAGGGATACAGGTGGACCCATTGCAACAATGAGATGTACAAGACATTATGTTGAAAAATGAACTTTACAACTTTGGCTGCCGGGGGGTAAGGGGGTGTATCGGAGGGCAGGGATGTAAGGGAAACAAAGGAGGAGGCAATAAGAAATGTACTCATTACCTTGCTCATGTAATTGTAACCCCTCTGTACGGTATTTTCACAATTAAAAAAACTTATTAATAAAAAAAAGCAATCATTTTGTTTCGAGCTTAGGTTTTGTTAGAAGTGTTGACATTCTGGAGTCATGCAGAGTTGATTCTCTGAAAACAAGGTTATCCTCAGCAGAAATACAACACTCACTTGGCACAATGAGTTTGAATTTCAGATTTTTTGTTCCTGTTAAGTTTTGTTCAGATTTAGGTAGTGTAAGTTCAGGGATTTAGGGGTGAAAGAGGTGAAGGATTAGGTCAATCACTTCAGTACATTAGGAATATGTTGCAATATGTTCAACAAATTATGTTTGGGAAACTTTGAACTTATGTAGTATGTTAAATCATCTTGTTTTATGCCAAGTGAGGTTGTGCACCAAGGCCTCTGGGAAGGAGGAAAACAGAGGAGGAGGCACCTGTGCTCGATAGAGCTGAGGCCTACAGGCAATGTGTCTTCAGTCATGTGTCTACATAGTTGGGAATCATAGAGTGGAAGAGATCAGAATCTTGAAGTCAGACCAACTCAATTAGCAAGTGGTCCTACGGGGTGGTCTGAATTAGGTGCTTCCTTTGCAGAAATAATGTTGAGAAAAAGGCATAGGCATGTACAGGCCTGAAGACAGTGATGTAGAGAGATATAAAGCTATTTCATGCTCATGTATAAATATATTAATATAATAGATAGATATAGATATATTCAACTGACTTTTACATGCATTACTGCATTAATCTATAGTTAATAGATTTTTAGTGTGATATTTCAACATATACCAACAGCACGAACCAATTACATCAGCTTCTTTTTGTCTACTTTCCCCATCTTCATCCCAAGTCATGGCTATTTTGACTTCAGGTCATCTTATATTTTAACTTTTACTTGTGAGAGAGCCTCTGGTACTTGCTTTTTGTGTCTGGCTTATTTCACTTACTGTATATCTGTTTCATTGATTTGATACAAATAGCAGACATTCATTCTTCTTTATGTCACTGTCTATATGTATATATAGCACACTTTCTTTATCCAGTCATCTGGGAGGGACACCTTGGTTGGTTGCCTGGCTTTGTTAGTGTGAATAATACTGCAATAAACATGAGCAGGAATCTCTTTGGTATGCTGATTTCATTCTCTTTTGGATAGATGCACAGAATTAGAATAGCTAGATTACGTGAAAAAAGTGAGCAGATGAAAATATTGTTATTAGAGAGCTCAGACAGGAAATTGGGGAAACTGGGCATCTTGAAAATGGCTACCTATGCAAAGTCCTCTTGCACAAATATAGAAATGTCTTAGCTGGGTGCCGGTAGCTGACGCCTGTAATCCTAACTACTCAGAAGGCTGAGATCTGAAGATCACAGTTCAAAACCAGTCGGGCGGGAAAGTCCGTGAGACTGTTATCTCACATAAACCACTAGAAAACCAGAAGTGGCGCTGTGGCTCCAGCGGTGGAGTGCTTGCCTTGAGCTGAAGAGCTGGGGGACAGCGCCCAAGCCCAGAGTTCAAGCCCCATGACCAACCAAAAAAAAAAAGTCTTTGTTCTGGGTATATTTGTACTGTGGGATGTGGGTTCAGTGGGCCTAACCAACTGAGACTTCCTGATGAATGAGTGAATGCTAAGAACACTGAAGAAAGTTATTTAGGAGTCAACTTTTCATTGTGCATGAATAAGAAAACCTCAGTTTGAAAAATCAGTGGTTGAAGATTAGGTTGAGGTTACTTTCACTTCTTAAAAAAGGAGAATGCTGTAAATGCTTTAAAAGATACCACTTATGTGTATTTGTTAGTGTTTATGCTAATTATTTCCAGAGTTTGAGGCCCCTATGTGTATGTGTGTGTATGTGTGTGTGTGTGTGTGTGTGTGTGTGTGTGTGTGAGCTATCATGTTAATTATATATCATTTTTCTTTATATCTGGAATAAATCTTTTCAACAAAACATACTCAAAATCACTTTGTAATAACCCTTTTTGGAAGTGATAATTTATATTTTTTGTAGATATTGTCATTCTGCATTTTAATGAATTGAAATGAGAGGCTTATTCCCAACTAGCCAAGCCAAATGTTCAGAGGCTTAAAAGAGCTTTTTCTTTTGATTTTCCTCAACTAAGGACATTTCTTGATGTTGACATATACATTTTGATATTTAATGCTTTTTGTTTTTTGTTTCTTGAACACAGGACTTTGTACTCTTGCTTGGTTTTCTTGCTTAGGGTTGGTGTTCTACCATTTGTGCCATGTCTCCAACTAGCTTTTTTGCTAGTCAACCTGAAATGGAGATTTTTGCTGATTTTTCTACCTGGACTGGCTTTGCAGCCTGATCCTTTAGGTCTCAGCCTCCTAAAACCCTAGGATTATCTGCATGAGCTGCTGGCATCAAGCTCTGAAAACTTCCTACATGCAAAAGGCACCTCAGTATAGTTCACTTGCTGAAACCAAAATATATAAACATAAAAAGTTGTTTTGTTGAAGTGATAGGTAAGAGGACAACTATTCAGTTGAAGCCAGTGCTCCAACATGAAAGGGATATTTTTAATAGAGTTTAATATATTAACACAACGTGACTTCTTTGCAGTCTTAAAAAAGTTGTTTGTAAGTCTGAGAAAGTATGTGAGACTAGTTATAGATGAGAAACATAATACACAGTGACTAAGTGTACTAAGACACATATGTGGGAAGTGGCGCTGTGGCTCAAGCAGTAGAGCGCTTGCCTTGAGTTGAAGAGCTGAGGGACAGCGCCCAAGCCCAGAGTTCAAGCCCCATGACCGACAAAAACAAAACAAAACAAAAAAACCCTCAAACAACAAAAAAAGACACATATGTGTTAGTGATAAAATGGTGCTTTCAAAAAATTCCTCAATATTATCCTTGGTCATTTGGCTTTCCCATAAAATGGTGGAAGAGTAATTATAGCTGAGCTATGGGGAATGATTTGCTGGGATCTGCTTGATTGCGGCACACTGTAAGATTAAAGTTGTTCTTGCTATGTTGAGTTCCTAACAATCCTACTTCATTTCTCCTGTCTTCCCATGAACAGTAGTGGAAAGGACAACATGGACCTCACCCATGTGCTCTTGCAGAAGTTTGAAGATGATGATCATCTCTGTGGTGATTTAGATGCAGCTCTGTAAGTACCAGGTGTTTTCTATAACTGAGACTATAGACCAAGAGAACCAGCAGTGTTGGCTCATCCCTCCAACCCTGCTGTTTTATATTTCAACTGTACATTTCCTGAATTGAGTGTTAGCCTAATTAATAGGTTATGAGTGTCATCATTTATATGACTTTTCTATTACCTGAAGTAAGCTACCTAATTGCTCCTTTCTCTTCCTTCAGTCACATTTTACATCACAGTTAGAAAATAATTAAGAGCATTCAAATTGTTTCATAAATAGAACGAAGTAGCAATTAACTTAAATTTAGTAGCTCTTTAGAAAAAGCTTGTACCCGAAGTTTGTCCATTAATCATCTTGATAATTAGTTTGACAACAAATAAACTATTAATAGTTTCAGTGCGAAAGAATTAACAGAAAATTAATTATTTTACTTCAGTTCAGTTTTCTCTTGGGAAACAAAGTAGTTTTACTTAACTAAAGCTTCAGTGGTGATGACTTATTTCTCTTCTATCTGATGCAACATCATGTAGATTCTGATATGCATCTACATCTGACTGATAGAAAGGTAAACCCTAGGCCCACATTTAGCCTCATATTGCTGCAAAAAAGGACAGCAAAGAGAGAGAGGGAGGGAGAGAGAGAAAAGAGGAGAGGAGAGGGGAGAGAGAAGGAGAATAGGAGGAAGAGGAAGAGTGAGCTTTACCCTCTCAAGAGAAGGCCGAAGAACAAAGGTAGCATGAATGTTTCAGTGGTGGTAGATCGTACTCCAAATTCTGTTTGCCCTTCCCTTTAACTTTACACAAGTAACAGAGGCTCTTCAAACCCTTCTGCCTCATTTCTTGCTCAGAGATCCTTCTCCTCAGCCCAGCCTGTACAATACCCTTAGGCAATTCCTTCTGTCTTCTGGATTTATGTTCTTTTCTCTTTCCTGTTTCTAATCCTCATAGTTGCTCCTTAACATATTCATACCTACTCAATCCACCTACCAACATCCTGTGCCTATGTGGATGCTGCATGGGAAGATACCCATGGATACTTGTCTTAAGAATTTAGGTCCATGTTGCATAGACAGAGCTTCATTCAAGAGGGGCAACATCAAAGTAACAAGTTTTTCTTCAGCCAGTATCTTCCTGTAAGTGTATTGTTGAATTCAATGATATCTACACTTTTACTTTCTGGACAGATTTTAGTAAGCACTTGATTATCAGTTACACAAAACATTTCAAAACACATGATTAGACTCTGGCCGAGAAGTGCTTTTTTTATTGAGATGCTCAACTCAAAGGTTCATGCACCATTTGGCAGTTGTCAGAATGAACTATGTGATGCTGACCTCTTTTTATCCACAGATGACGGTTGCTATAAATCTAGCCCAAATGTTTTTTTTCTCTGTTAGTAGATGTGCCAAAATTTAAATTTTGAAATGTGCAAATCTTGCCAACTTGTAGAAGCAGATTAGTAGACTGACATAATTTGATCCACTTTACACGGCTAATGTTGGGTGACACCTGAGTCAAAGCAGTCACTTCTCCTCTATCCCTGTTCCATTTTAATTGCCATCAGCATGCTTATTAGAATATTTTATATATTTCTAACAAGTTAAAAAGTTGATTGCACCTGAGTGACGGTAGCTTGTGTCTATAATCCTAGCTATTCAGAAGTTGAGAGATGGATGATCATTATTCTAAGCCTACCTAGACAGAGAAGTTCACAAGAATTTAATCTCCAATTAGCCAGCAAAAAATCCAGATGGAGATGTGGTTCAAGTGCTAGAGCACCAGCTGGGAGCAAGAAACCAAGAGAGTTCAGGGCACTGGGTTCAAGTTCTGTTACTGGGAATAAAAAATAACAATTGTGTGAAGTTTATTTTCATAAACAATAATACGGTACCATTTCCACAATTAGACTAAAGCAATATGATGTGTTATGCCAGTGGCCTACAGTTTCCTGTGCTCAGGACAATCAAAAGGCTCATTTAGCCAATGAATGCTTTGTAGGCTGGCTCCTTGAAGATGATGTGACTGCTGATTGGCTCTGTGAAGATGAATGTGGAGGTCAAAGGTCAAAGGCATGGAGTACCTACCCAAGCCATCATGTGTAGGGGTGGAGAACACATCTCCATCCAGGACCAGGTTATCTCCATCTATATCTCACCTTCACCAGTGTGAATCTGGGCAGCTTATTGGACCTCTTTCTCTGCCTCTGTTGGCTTCTAATGAAGCAACATCAAACATAATGATGACCCTTGTGGAATGCTTTCACCCCTTTAGGCAAGTTCATATTTCTGAAATTTATTCTCAAGACCTGTGGCCCTTTGCGACTGCTGCTGTCACTTTCAGATCTGAAAATCATGGTATTCTTTTAAAGATTTCAGGCAACTCTGCATTAGAGAAACTTACATAGCCCCACACTTTCAAACATTAGGGAGCAAGTGACCATGTTCACAACACCATTGTAGCTAGGTCCTACAAACACATGAAATATATGCTTTACTCAGTCAAAATGGGCTTAGATTCCTAAACTGGAAGGAAATCTGGGGAGAAACTTATCATTGCCAACCTGCTGTCCAGTCTGCTGGTCTCTTATGCATGCTCAAACAACTTTCTAGTGGATCTGTCTTTCCTCAATTAATATAATTATCTTTATGTGTTTATATAAAGGGGTTTCAATAACCTGTCAGTTTATGAGTACAATATGTCTTGATCAAAGTCACCCCTCTCTCCTTCTCCTCTCATTCGCTTCAACACTAATCCCCTCAAGTTGCCCGGCTCCATTTTTCACACGTGTACTTCATGACTGTTACCACCCACACTTTTCTTCTCTCTTCCATCTAGCCACCTCCCCTTGACCTCATGGAGCACAAGTTCTATTCAATGGCATTCATTTGGTTAGTGGCTCAAAGGAGTGAAAGCATTAGAATCCTACCATGCTGGGGCTGGGAAGGTGGCTCAGTGGTAGAGCGCTTGCCTTGCATGCCTGAGGCCCTGGGTTCGATTCCTTAGCACCACATAAGCAAAAAGAAAAAAGCCAGAAGTGGCACTGTGGCTCAAGTGGTGGAGTACTAGCCTTGAGCTGAAGAGCTGAGGGACAGCGCCCAGGCCCAGAGTTCAGGCCCCACAACTGGACCCAAAATAAAATTAAAATTAAAAAATTAAAAAATAAATTTAAAAAATATATACTCTTAGAATCCTACCATGCATCTACCCTACTTTTAATTTGCATATATCTGCATATGAATCTTCAAGCATAAAAATTATTGGCATTTAAGAGATCCAAAAAATATAAACTCTGTTAAATACTGTCATTATGACCATGTATCAAAGGAAGCTAGGGGATACAAAAATTAGAGAGCAAAAATAACTGACTTTCCGAAATGATTCATTAAATTATATACATGTGTGGCATTATCATGTTTCCATTTCTACAACAAAATACCTGAATCTGGATGCCTGTGAATCAATGGGGAATGCTGGGTTTAAGTATACATAAAGTCAATATTTTAAAAAAAGTAATATCAGATACAACCATCTGTTTAAATATATAACTTTCTTAGGTGTTACATTTGCAGGTGAACTGGCAAATCTCAAATGGGAATTGCCCTAAGAGAATCAAATGAATAGTGCTGGAGAGGGCTTCAGAATTACATGTTCTCTGCTAATCCGGTGACGAGAAATAGCAAGCTTTCTTTCATTGGATTGGACTATTTTTCATCTTGATGTTGTTATACTGAGTTTCTGTGGCTAGTGAGACAAAAAACACAAAAAACCTGAACTAGAAGAGGGGCAGGCTTGTCCTTACCCCTGGCTCATCTTGCCAGCCTCTTTACCTCTCCAAACTCTACAAGCTGTTAATTTCCTTCCTCCCTTACATGTTAATTTCCTTCTTTCTCTAACAAAATTGGAGTAGCTAAGAACAATTATCATCACTAAATTACAGCTTGATTTACCAAATGAAATATGGGGCCATAGGCTAAGAAAGCTATAGGGAACTTGAAATACAAAAAATTTCCCTATCTGCTTGTTCCTTACTGTTTTCATAACTTTCTGTTGTGTAATCTAGAGTTTACACACAAATGGAAATGTAATGCTTGTTTTTCTTTAGCTGATGATTAAATGACTATATCTTGCCATGAGAAAGGAGTCATCAGATCCTTGTGTTTATGAATTGCATCTTGGTATCTGGTTATAAAACTAGGAGCTGTAGGATTCACAAGCTTAGGACCCCAGGAAGGTCCTGGAAGCCTTGGTAATATATTCAGTGCAGGAAGCCAAGTGAGCAGCGTGTCCTACAATGGAATTCTGGCATTTTAATAAAAGCTGTCATCAGATTAGCAGCTCATACTGTGAAAACAAATGTCAAAGCTCTGCCTTGGTGGCAGTAGGAGGTGATTATCTTGTGAACAGGGTTCTACTGTGAAGGAACTTTCTTTTAGGGAAATAAAATAGCTTTGTAATCCTAAGGATCATTCTAATTCTCTCCTTTGTTCTTTAGAAAGAATTCTTCCCGCTGGCATAGAGATCCCTATTCTAGACCTGCATTCCAGGACTCCTGTGGCTGCCTGGTATGTTTCTACAGCATTTTTTGATCATTTAAAATATAAATCTCAAGTGAAAAAATAAGTTTACTCTATCTGTGGAGCCTTCATGTTTTGGTCTATGAGTTTCTATGTCTTTTTGAATCCATTGATTGGCCATTTGTGGGAAAGTTTCATTCTTAAGGTGAACATTATATATACCCCACTGTGACCCCTTAGCCATTACCTACTGTCTGGATCATCAACATCCCCACTAGTATTCATTAAGCAAGTAAATCTTCTTCCACTAATAATGAGAGGCTAGAATTGCCACTGGGGGAGAAATTTCTCTAAATTTCAAGACAAAATGACTTTGAGGCTCTCATCATACTTCTTATTTGAGCTCTAAGAACCAGATATTAAATACTAAGCTAACACTAAATATTTCAAATGTGGTTGATTCACACCAGGACACCACTCTCTAAGGGAAGGCCACAATGTCCTAATCTATGAAAGAGAACAAATTGAACTTTACTTGGAAAACTGGTGGGAATTCTTCCCAAAGAAAATCTTGAGAGCTAATTAATAAAAGGGGTTATCCATGATCAACAGCCTAATGTGGCAAAACGAATTTACCTTTCAGAAGGGAAATGAAAAATCTTAGATCAGGATATAAAGGAGATGCTCATGTACAAAGTATGTTCACTGGCCTCTTTATGTAGTGATCTCTTGGTACTTTCTCTTAGTAGCTGAGTGACTTTGGAAAGTTTATTTTTGGCTAACTTGATCTGCTTTCTTCTCCTAGAAAAGAGGTAGAAAGATAAGAGAGAGCCATAACACAGCTTCCCCACCCCACCCCCATAATAGATACTTCATTTGCTGGTGCACCTGGAAGGTCCTTGGAACTCTTCATGCTTCCTTTGGGCCTCCATGATCAGAAAATTCAGATACATTTGCTGCTCCTTTGCAGTGACCACCTCTCTTTTGTTGAAGTTATTTTGTGCATAATTATTTGCTGCTTTTTTCAGTCTTGTTTCTTACATCTACTTGTGAAACGCTGGATGTTTGACTCCCTGTTCTTGTTCTTAATTCTGGATTTAAATATACTATGATACCTTGTATAGAGATACATGAATTCATAGCAAAAATGGGTCTATGTTCTCACATTCAGTGTAATTCACATGAACTATGTCAGTAATATACATGCAAGAATCACATGAAAAAGTTCTGTAAGTAAAATAAACTTCAGAAATGCTGCATGAAGTAGAATTAAATAGGTGGCCCTGTTCTAATTCTGCTGAGAAAGCTGTTATCTGGTGATATGTGCTTCAACTGACAACAGGTAAAGAGGCTGCAGAGCTGTTTGCAAATTAGACTAAGTAATCCTCCTGCCTTCTGCCTTCTCCACTTCCGATCATTGCTTTTGTCTTTACCCATGTTAAGAGATGATGATTGACACATTAGAAATCAGAAAACTCCAAGAAGGAAGGAGTTGAGATGGAAATAACAGCTTCAAGGAGTGCATTTTGCTCCTTGGCCTTGGTTCTGAGATGAACGGGAAGGAAGTGGAAACATAGGCCGATACCCAGCCTCTGGCAGCAACCACCAATCTGTTCTTTTACTCTTTGAGTCAAGTTATTTATCTATTTATTTTGAGTTGAGTGTTGATTAGAGTCTTGACGTGAGTGAGAGTTTGGATGGACTGTAATGTAAAGCTATTGGTATTCTTTTAGTGTCTTTCCCTTCGTTCCTTTTAGCAATAAAAAAGTCACATGTTAAATGCATATAATGTTACTTGGCTTAGTTCTTCCATGCTTATCTGAACCCAACAAAATCCATGCATTCAAAAGCCTGGTTTCCATTTCCATTTCCATTTCTATTTTTATTGTGCAAGTGAGAAAACAAGCTTCCAATGCTGGAAATGAATTTTCATATATTGTCTTCCTCTCATCAAAATGGAAACAATGCACAGCTAGTCTGAACTCTGTGGCTGAACACGTTAGGTCACCCTGCATCCCCCAGCATTGTGAGACCACTATCTCTGTCCTTTGTTTGTGGTTGCTTCATCATTCAGACTGGGTACTAGCACTCTAGTGTGCCTGTGCAGGATATGTTTGAGTTCTACTTCAGATACTTATGAAAGAAACGCACCCCTTTGAATTTTCCTGCTTATCTTCTCTCTACTAGTTCCCTCGGACTCTCTTTCAGCTTCATCAAACACACAATCATTACAGTGAAAACATTTTCCTTTTGAGTTCTTACAAATCTGTGCCAACTTGCAGACAGAAAAGGATTTGAAGTTCTCAGATATAATTGACAGCCCTGGTCTCAGTAGAATTCTGGCATAATTCTCCAACGTAGGAGACTTTTAAAAAAGATTTTAGAAATCAGAATGCATAAGAAGTTGGAGATAATTTATTAAAAATTGAAAGCGAGGGAAGAAATCACATTTAGTTTAAGGCACTGTTGGTAACCTAGTTTGTGAGTTATAAAAAAGTTTCAATTTTATCTCTTTGAAAACACTTGCAGAAGTGTACAAATCGAAGTGCTCCTTACCTGACCAACTGCCTGGGCCACACAATGCTCAATCTCTCAGGCTTCGATGTAGAGGAGTACTTGCTGCAGCCATCGGAGAAACCCAGGTATGTACACAATTCTCTCTGGTTCTTTCCTATTGTCTTTGAATGACAGTTGTCCCTTAGTATCCTTTGCAATGGTTTCAGTACTCTGGAGATCACCCAAATCTACAGATGCTCAAGTCTCATTTGTAAACTGATACATCATTTGCACAGAATCCATGCATACCCTCCTGTATCCTTAGATGACTCCTAGTAACTAAGACAATGTGAATAGCTGCTATACATATTGTTTAGGGAATAATGACATGACACGTTGTCTGTACGTATTCAAAATGTGTAATTTTTTTGCATATTTTCCATCAATACTTGGTTGAATCCCTAGATGTGGAAGATATGAGCATATTTTGTTTTGAAATCTAATGTTCACAAGAACTTAAAAGTTAAACACTCACCTTAGTGTTCATAAACAGTCCAAAGTCCTACACTAAGTTCTAATCATATTCCTTGCTTCTGACTTTTGGTCTTTGAAACATTGGAGGAAATTGTATCAATTGTGATTCTGTCCATGGTAGAGGCGAGGGAGCAGCAATGGGCTTACTACTTTAGGGAATATGAGCAGGTGAGGTAATAGCATACTGAAATACAAGTGCTTTTACAATCCCTATGCACTCTGAAGTATAAGAACCCAGGTGCAACTGGTTTGAAAAATTCCTTATAGATGATGTTAGGAAAGTTTTGTTTGTGTTTTTTTTTAAGGCCAAGAAGTGACTCTAGATGAGGTGGCCAGGAATGATTGGTTCTCATTTGAGCCTCACTAATATTCACCACCCCATCAGATTTCCCACCCCTCCTCTAGTACACTACACTGTCTCAGATATGCAGGTTGTTTATATGGCCTGGGACGCCTCACCACCCTGAACCTGCCTCTTCTTCCATGATGCCAAGTCAGCATGCTCTCAGCCCCATGGACAGCTTTTGTCTCAGTGTTGCTATGCCTGAACCTGCCTGCTGCTCCATTTCCTAGAATGTCCTATCTGATATCTTTCCTAACCCTGATGGGTAGTTCAATGGTTAGTGTCCCAAAGGTAGGAACTTGAAGTCTCAGAACTTAGAATTCTATTTGGTACAATGGACATTCAATTCACATCTGTCAGAGGAATTAGTGAATTCAGTTGAGCTGGATGGGAAAATGTCCCCATTCCCTTTCCTTCATTTTTGCCATGAGTTATGACATGAAACTGCTTGTTAGCTTCCTTTTTCCCAGAGATGGGAAACAGAGATTATTATTTGCTATTGCTTCTAATATCAACTATGTTTTGAAGCTTGGTTAGTGCCAGATACTATACAGCTTATGGAGAGATGGAGATAAAAGTTATCATCCCACCCAGGAAAATCTTACAGAGCTGCACAAAAGATAAACTACAGGTTGATTAAAACCCAGTGTGGTAACTAATGCAATGGATGGGAACATAGTATACTGGGAGAATTCAAAGGAAATGGAGTATCTTACTCAACTGTAGTTCTCTGATACCTTCCTGAACCAAGCAAGATGTGAGTGGAGAGGAAAGGAGCAGAGGAGGGTGGACAAACCTGGGGGAGGGCGGGGCCTGCAAGATCATGATGGACTAGTGATTCCTGAATGATGGGTTTGTAGAGGACATACCCATGAATTTAAATAGAGTACTGATGGTCTCAACCATGTTCTTAAACTCTATGCATTTCTTATCCTGATAGTAAGTTAGGAGAAGTTCAGTCCTTAGTATTACCAGTTCTTCTCCATAAGCAGTGCTTTTCTAGCACACTGACCTCCAGAGCCAGTCCGCTTTTGTCATACATAGGACATGACACAGACCACAGATGCTCAGTGGGGTACCATCTGTATGACTAATTGTGGTTGGGAATGAAATGAGCGGAGTAGAAGTTCTGGTGTACTTTAATTGGAGCACTAACACCTCATTTCCTGTTTCTAGGCTTGGAGGTTGGTCTTTTGGAGTGGGGGTCCTTAATGAAGTTCAAGACTCAAGTACAAATACATTAAAACCAAGAACTCTGGCAAAGGTGATACTATTCTTTATCCCCCCCTCCATTCTTCTTCTAGAAAATATTTAGGGAAAACAAAGATCTAAATACATTTTTTAAAATTGTGAACATACTGTACAGAGGGGTTACAATTACATGGGCAAGATGAGTACATTTCTTATCAAACATTGCAGCCTCCTCCTTTGTTTACCCTTCACATTCCTTCCCAGCTTCCTCCTGCCCCCAATCCCAATCCTCCCCCCTCCACCAAAGTTGTAAAGTTTGTTTTCAACATGACAACTTGTACTTCTCATTGTTGCAATGGGTCCACCTGTATCCTTATTTAAACGACTTGTTTTTCCCCTTCCCCTCCACAAATTATACCGACATCAAATACAGAAAGCAGGGGTTATACTGTGGGGGAGGGACATACAAAGCAACAAAGAAATAATCTTATAAATGTGTTAGAAACAAATGCATGAAAGAAAAAAAAACATTTAAATACATATCTAAGGGTTCATTTTCCTAACATCACCTTATCTGGCCTTTTCTGCTTGACTCATACATATACTAGATACTGCAAATAAGCGAAACCATGGAACCTATGTTTCTTTGGGCCTGGCTTACTTCAGTTAATATAATTTTTTCCAAGCCTTTCCATTTCCTAACAAATGGGGCAATGTCATTCTTTCTGGTAGAGGCATAGAATTCCATTGTGTATATATACACCACATTTTCTTGATCCATTCATCTACTGAGGGGCATCTGGGTTGGTTCCATATCTTAGCTATGGTAAATAATGCTGCAATAAACATAGTTGTGCTGGTAGCTTTAGTGTGTTCTTGTTTATAAACATTTGGGTAAATGCCCCAAAGTGGGATTGCTGGATCATAGGGGAGCTCTATGTGAAGTCTTTTGAGGAACCTCCATACTGCTTTCCAAAGTGGTTGAACAAGTTTACATTCCCACCAACAATGAAGTAAGGTTCCCTTCTGTCCACATCCCCTCCAGCATCTGTTGTTGTTAGAGTTCTTGATTTTTGCCATTGTAACTGGAGTGAGGTGGTATCTCAATGTTGCTTTGATTTGCATTTCTTTTATGACTAGGGAGGTTGAGCATTTCTTCATGTGTCTATTGGCCATCCTTCTTTCTTCTTCAGAGAAGTTTCTCTTTAAGTCTTTAGCCCACTTATTAATTGGGCAGTTGTTTCTTTGAGGATTTGTTGTTGGGGGATTTAATTTTTTGAGTTCCAAGTATATTTTAGATATGAGATCCTTGTCTGTTTGTATGGCTAGTGAAGATCTTCTCCCAATCCGTGGGCTTGCTATTGATCTTGCTAGCTATGTCCTTTGCCATGCAGAAGCTCTGCAACTTCATGCAATCCCATTTGTCCAACCTTTCTTTGAAAATCTAAATACATTTTTGAAATACATTTTTGAAATACATTTTGTGGTGGGCAGATCAACTCCCAGTATATGCTCCTGAGAATTAATAATAAATGATTTTGGGGCTGGGAAGGTGGCTCAGTGGTAGAGCACTTGCCTTGCAGGCCTGAAGCCCTGGGTTCCATTCCTCTGCACCACATAAGCAAAAAGAAAAAATCCGGAAGTGGCGTTGTGGCTCAAGTGGTAGAGCACTAGCTTTGAGCTGAAGAGCTGAGGGACAGCGCCCAGGCCCAGAGTTCAGGCCCCACAACCAGACCCCCCCCCCAAAATAATAAAAGATTGTATTTAAACCTTCTTTTGAAAGAGAAAAATGTATTATTTTCCTTTAGATATCTAGAAGCAAGATGAATAGATTATTACTATTAGTTAAAAATGAGACTACACTTAATAGGCTTAAAGCAAATGAGAATACATCTATTTTTTTGTCAGTTATGGGGAAAATGTCAGCTTAACCTTAAGATGGGAAAAGATGAAAGAATTGAAGTTTTCAGCCCTAGGATTAGAAGCTAGTCTGATGCTTGACCAAGAGAGAAAAGGAATGAATAGGTTGTGGGAGGAAGGTAAATCAAATGTGGAAAAGTGAGTGTGAGTTTATGTCAGGAGGTTAGCATTAAATGACTACAAGTTCCTTGTCTCTGTAGAGTGGGCTGTCCTGTCTATTCATAACTTAATCCCAGAATTAATGAAACAAAGAAGGCATGATCCCAGAAAGTTGCCTTCTCTATTCTGTAACGGGGACATTCATGGTTCCCACAAACCTGGAAAAGCTAATTAGGATAAGGACTAGGGCATGTGGAGGGCTTCTTAATGGAACAGAAGATTTCTTACAATAACTTCACCACAAAATCCCTGAAGGACATCTTAGCAATGTAATCCCTGAAGATAATTTTAGCAGTCAGACTTTGCAATATAATCCCTGAAGAAAATGCTAAATCCTAGTGTGGATTTTCAGAAATCCTTTTTTCAATTGAGGTTTGTTCAAATTTCTTTTCCTTTCTTTAAAGGAGAAGATTTCATAGCTCTATATAAAAATATCATTTGTTTGTTGATAGAAAAATGACTTGAAATACATTTGTTGGCATACATTGAAACGTATTATGTAGTCTCTTAAAACACACTTCTTTTGTAGGACTCACTTTCTTACATTTGGACATTAAAAAAAAATGTATCCAAGCCCCAGCCCTGACTATGTATTGTAGACAGTTGTCTCCTTGCTTTTAGATGTCTGTGACATAGACTTCCTCTTCAGTGATGAAATGGTCAGGGGTTCATGTGTTGACCTGACTCTTCTTGTTTTCTGTCTTTGTTTACATTTTTCTTTTCATGGACATGTTTAATTGATGGTTTCTGGAATTTTTATGTTACTTGACATGTTCTTTGCAACATGCAAAAGTGAGTTGTGTAACTGGTCCTTTGGGGGAGTCATTCTCTCCAGGAAGCCCAGGAGTCCGACAGGATACCGTATTGAGTTGTGTGTCATCTGTCTGTAATGTATAACTCCCACTGAAGGCTATTGGTGGCTGATGTCCTATCAAATAAATGCACTAACTTTTCACAAACAGTAATGACCAGACTTGCCTCCAAACTTTAGGCTACATTCAGAACAGAAGACAAGATTTTCGTAGATATGGTCTAGGAAAAATTAGGTATTTGCATACAAATATGCATAATGCATGTTCATTATATCATTAAATGTCTCTTAAGGAACTTTTCTGTCTTGTTTCATTCATTCGCACACCTTGAATGTTTAGCTTATATTTATTTAATCAACATTCCCTTTAAAGCATACACATGTCCAATAAGAAGGCCAGATATATTGCCTCTCTTCTTTTGTAATATTCTATTAAGTAATATTCTCTTATTCTATTCTGTGAGGCTCTCCTAAGTGACTTTCTTTTATTACTGCTACTTCGTTCCTCTTTTAAAAGCTATTTTATTATCTTTCAGTAGCTCTACAATGGACTTGCCAATCAGCAAAGCTCTTTATGGATACATTACATCTTCTTCAATGGTATTCCTTTCAATACTCTCACTCACCCCTCCCAAACCACCTTTTTTCTAACTTTCCTTAATTTTGTAGGATTTGCATTAAATTTTTTTTTTACCACATTGTCCCTGCTCCTTTCTCTTCATTTGTCTACCCCCTTGGCCCTTTCCCACCCCTCTCAAATACCCATTTCCTGATAATTATCTTACTGACTTTTGATTTACCTTTTCGAAGGAATTATGTTGAGTTCTCCCAGAATCTACCATATGTCAGTTAACACCTTTGTGCACACTGGATACCACCTAAAGTATTTAATTTTATATTAGAAACTAATTCTAGTTTCTACATATGAAAGAAAACACATTAGCCTTGTCCCTCTGGCCTAACTAACTTCACATAATTTTTGAGGTTCTTTCATTGATTTGCAAATGATGCCATATTATTCTTTCTAATGGATAAGTAAAATACCACTGTGTGTATATGCCATATTTTCTTTTTTAAAATTTATTTATTGTTATTTTAACAGTGATGTACAGAGGGGGTATGGTTACATAAGTCAGATAAAGGGTACATTTCTTTTTGAACAACGTAACCCCTTCCCTCATTCTCTTCTAGTTTTTCCCTCCTGCCCTCACTCACAAGTTGTATAGTTCATTTTTAACATAAAGTCTAATGAGTACCACTCTTGCATTTGTTTACCCTTTGTCCCACTATATCTGTGCCCCCTTACCTTCCTAAGACATATAAACAAACAAGACAAAAGGAAATGAAAACAAAAACAGCAACAAAGGAAAAAAAAACCTTTGTTTCCATTTCCTGGAGTTCATTTAGATAAATATTATTTTATATGGTCAGATGCACTTAGCTCAGTGGCACCATTCTGTATTACCAAAATAATTGTGTCGTCAGCCACATATGTCAGTAGCATCAATGCTACATATGCAGTTAGTCCATGAGTGTTGGGCTGTGCTGCTGTGGGCTGTGCTTCACAATGACACATGCTTGTGGGAATGCTCCTTGGCTGGGCCTGAGAATGTTTCACAGATTGTCATTGCCAGTTGTTGCCAAAAACTTCCTTCCCATCACCCTCCATGGTTGCACACCATTGTACAGATTCTCTGTGGCCTTTTGAAAGCTGGGCGTGGGAGCCCATTCTTTGTACATTCTGCTTATCTGATGGGATTTCCTTGATGAGCCTGTCTGCAGATGATTCTGGGCTGTCTGTCTATTCATGTAGTTAAGGCCCACAAACCACTTAATGGCTTTTGTTGAGTCAAGCTACTCTCTAAAATTAATTATTGGGACTAGGAAAAGGTCAAGCACAGTGAGCAATGCCAATTACATTCCAGACCCTTTTGTCTCTCTCCATCATTCTTTCTGGGGATCTTAACAAAGTTTTCACAGCCTCACCTTTCATGTTTATTCTGAAGCTCTGTCTTTCAACATGTCTGTAACCCAGGTTTACTGGGCATAATTTCTAACTTCTGTCTTCAAGGGTAGTTCAGATGACACTTTGATCAAGTCTTTGACTGTGTGAAAGATGGACCAGCATTCCATCATTATCTTTAGCAGTTTTCATGCTTCTTTTCCCAACATACCTGCAGGATTTCTCATCTATTTCCAAACTTCTCTTAAGTATTTTTGGTTACCTACTGGCTGATCTTAAAACAAATGCCATCTATTTTCAGGTGTTGCTACCCTAATAGCTTCTCCAAGTATAAGTTATTGGGTCAGTTACTTACTACTTCAATGTATCTATTCAACAAGAACTACCAGTCTCAGAGATCTCAATGAGTCTGAGAGCTTCTGCTACTACTGTAGGGCCAGGCTGGGCTGATCATGGTCAGGAATGAGCACAAACAGCAAGGCTGCCTTATTCCTGGAGTTATATGTGGTTTTGACTAAATGCAGTCAAAATTCAATAAGTAAAAAAGAAATAAAGATAAAAAAATTCTTAAAAGCATAACATTTAAAATTCTTGTGCATGCTTTATGCAGCTCAGTTGATTTGGAGGATGTATGCCAGTCAATCCCAAATAATTGTCATTTTTCTTAATCCATTGTGTGATCTGCTAGCTGCTTTTCTGCCCTTAATTTTGTGAAAATATGCTTCCCTCAAATATACGGTGCCCCCAAAGCAAAGTAAAAGTCAATATGCTTAAGTGATAAGTGGACAATGTTAGATTTGTTGAAAGGCAGCATGTCTTTAGCCAAACTTGTATGGCTTTATAGGAGAAATGAATCAAGCAGAATAGTAATGAACTTTATGCATCCTGAGCAGTCATAGTTTTTCTCAATAGTAATTTCCTTGGAAATATTCCCACAGATAATAAGGGTCTACTGTGCTAATTTGACTGGATTTTGGCGTTAGTTAGAATAATGGTGAGTGTTTTAATTTAGGATCTTAGCACTGGAGTGTATACTTTCAATGATCAGGGAAGACCCAGAATGCAAATAAAAATTTTCTTCTTACAGATCTTTATTGGGTGCTTATTATCTCAATAAAGTTCCTGTGGGGAGTTTTAATTGGTGGGTTTAAAGCAAATGAAATCAGAGGTTTTATATCCCAGGTCTAAACTCCAGGGTTTTAATATGTCAGACCTGTCATTCCTCCTACCCCAAGAAAGGAACAACCAATGGTAAAACACAGAGATAGAAATTTGTCATATAGCATGGGCAGATATGTAAAAAGGTTGTTATCCTTTCCTCTGATCATTAGGGTACAGACATGAGATATAGGTATAACTAGACACAGAAATGGGTCAAAGAAAGGAAGGTATGCGTAATTATTGCTTGTTCATTATTTTGGTCCTCTTTTGGGGTATTCCAGAGAAGTTTTTTTTAACATTATCATCATTGGTTTGCTGGAGGAGACACAATTGTTTTAATTAATTAAAAATTTTATTTCATGTTTATTATTATCTTTAGGTAGTTGTAGAAAGGAGCTGCCATTTAACAAAGGAGTTTATGAATACAGTATATCTTGATCAAGATCACCTCTTTCAACATTTCCACCCATCCCACCCCTTCCCTCACTTTTAATTTTGTAGGATAGACATTGGATTCTTGACTGCATTTCCCCCCACTACTCCTCTTCATTCATTCCTATCCCCTTGACAACACCATACCCCTTTTGAACATTAACTTCCTGGTGTTTTACTTTGCTAAACTTTGATTTTGAGTTTCTAAGGAATATACTATTTGGAATCTCCCTTGAATGTAGCTTATTTCAGTAAACATACCAACCAATGTATTTACTTATAAGTTTGTAAGCTTCCACAAAGAGAAGAAAACATAGATCTTTTTTGTCTCTCTGGGCCAGACTTACTTCACTTAACAAAATTTCTTCCAGGGTCTTTCTACTTCTTTACATATGATACATTCTAATGGATGAGTAAAATTCCATTGTGTATGTATACTGCATTTTCTGGATCCCTATATCCATTGAGGGGTATCTGGGCTGATTCCATACTTAGCTATGCTGAGTAGTGCTGGAATAAACATGGTTTTTCTGGTGGCTTTACGGTAGCCTGGTTTGTAATCTTTTGGGTAGAAGCCCAGGAGTGGAACTGCTGGATCATAGAATATTTTTATATTTAATTTTTTGCGGAATTTCCATACTGCTTTCTAGAGGACTCTATTGTTCCTAAGGGGTGGTTTCAGTAGATGGAATTTATCAGTCATTCCTCCTGTATTCTGCAGTAATTGCAAAGAAACTTCAGAAGAAAATGGTGTTAAACAAAGCAGACACTGAGAGCTTTTCTCTTGCTTTTTATTAATTTGAAGATCTAAGCAAATAGTCACTAATTTTTGTCAAAGTGGTTATAAATCACTTCTTACACAAGCAGGTACAAGTTTCAGGACACTGTGTAACAGAGAGGTGACCACCAACGCATGTCTGCACAGTCTGCAGGGGATAGGGATGAGTGCCAGCAGGGTCTGTCAAGTAGGCTATAGCTGGTTGATTTGTTCCACTAGGATATGGTCACCATAGTCTTCTACCATGTTGAAGAACTAGTAGGAGGTGGAGAATTGGAAGTTATCCTAGGTGATGATACCCTGCTTCTGTCTGGTACTAAAAGGCCTAACTCATGTGTAAGATGAATACCAAGGGCACATAAGGTTATAAGAATTGGCTGTAATGTGTGAATGTGTAGAAGGTCTTGGCTTTCCCCCTGTGTCATCAGGTCAGCTAAGCTATTCCCCTTTGGTTGTGTTGGAGTCCAGGAATGATTTCAGGAATAGATATAATCTTTCCAATCTTAGTATAATAGTCTATAAGCCAATGCAAGACATGCTGTTGGGTTCATAGTTAAAATGGCTGGCTAAGCAAGTCACTTGGCAAAGGGCATGGGTTTAGAAATTGTAAAAAATGGGGGTCATTAAGTGATCAAGAAGACTCAGAGTTTAGGGACGGGGAGCCAGGAAGTCTTTGCAGGGTCCTCTGACTTCTAGGGTCCACTCTTTCAAAGAACCTCTCCTTGATTTCTATACCATTGCTTCATGGCCTTTTTAAGATGAAAAAAATCACCTGATTTTAAAATAAGCCAATAAACCAAATCAAAATGTGAAAGCTCCTAATCCAAGGGGAAGACTATTATCCCATCTATTTTTTCTTTTGAGTTAAGGTAATCAAGACATAATGGGAAGGAAGGTTATAGACAAGGATTAATGGGAGCTTCCTGTATCCACATTCAATGACTGGGCTTTTTTTTTTTGTCAGTCGTGGGGCTTGAACTCTGGGCCTGGGCACTGTCCTCTTCAGCTCAAGGCTAGCACTCTACCACTTGAGCGTCAGCGCCACTTCCGGCTTTTTCTGCTTATGTGGTGCTGAGGAATTGAACCCAAGGCCTCATGCATGCAAGGCAAGCGCTCTACCACTGAGCCACCTTCCCAGCCCCAGGATTTTTCCTATAGTAGTCTTCCTTGACTTTAACAGAATCCTAAGTTTCCCTCATTTCTGGATATATGAGGTTGCAACAAAAGGTGATTTGAGAGTTACGCAGATGTGTGTGTGTGTGTGTATGTGTTTGTGTGTGTGTTTGTGTGTGTATGTGTGTGTGTGGTGTGTGTTTGTGTGTGTGTTTGTGTGTGTCTGTGTGTGTGTGTGAATACAGAGCTGCACAGAAAGTTCTGAGTTGAGTGAAAAAGGAGGACATCCTTCCAAGATGTGATTTTAACTGCTCCAATTCAGTGCTGATTTTTCAATCAAAGAACTCATGCTTCGATCTGCTTTTCAGAATTACGGGCTTAAGGTACATTACATAGTTTGTCAGGGAAGGATTGGGCCCCACTATGTCACTCTGTTTAGGTATAGCCTTAGACACAGAACATTCGGTATTCCATGATTAGTATGTCTCAAACTGCATTTCTTCTTGGAGCTTAAGAAATGATAGCAAGGTTTATTCTATGAATGTAAATGAATATTTCAAAAAGGGTGTCTAGGATGTTGAAAGAAATGGGCATGAGTTCTGTTTTCTAAAGCATTTCATGAAGTGGGCTGAAAAGGGGAATACTCTGTTGTATAGCAGGGCTTTGTTTCTGCTTTGTAGCTCCACTTGATTACTTAGCTGTTTTCATGAACACTACAGGTACCATACACACACACGTTGGTTTCAAAACAACTGCTTAATGTATAATGAGTTGGAACTCACTTTACTCTTAAGTCTGGCTGTCATTTTGCATAAATGTCCATAAAAATTCCAACAGGTTTCTCTGGGGGTAAACTTTTTGTGGGAAAACTATAATTCTTCAGGTTGCAAAAGTCAGCATTGTCTAAAGAAATGAGCTCCACAGTCAAATGATAGAAGACTCAAAGGCACTAGTTGACTTATTATATTTCTTACCAGCTTTCTAGATTGAGAATATTTTTTTCATTAAAACACAGATTTTGAAATATAGATAGTGATGGTTTGATGGGTATTTTATGATACTTTTTATCTGAAGTCAATTACATTTTTTTGGTTTTCCTCCGCTTTTTTTTTTAATCCAATAGGCATGCAACTTTTTTCTCTATGTTCAGCAAATGTTCAACTCAATTTATTTTGAGAAATAATGTTCCACATTCAGTCATTAATTTGAAAGTAATCATTTTTTCTGATCATCTTCCACAATTTTAATTTGCAGGTCAAATTTCATTAGCTTACCAACAGAGAAAGAAAAAAAATAAATGGACTTTGGTTCTCTTTTCCCCTAAGACTATAATTATAAAGCAACATTCACATTTGTTCTGGGGGGAAAATTCATCTATTTTTAGCTGTAAATTATATGCTTGAGACAAATATAAAATCAGCAGACTGGAGTTGACGGTTCACTGGCCAGCATGAAGAAACTTTGTTGTGGGTCCCACAGCCCGGTGTAGTTGAAGTTAATTGACACATGCATTCAAGCCCTAGAATAGACTTAGGCACTAATTTTATGAGATCCATTAAATTGTTTTTCTTTTGTAGGTGTGGTATAATCAGAAGGGTTTCCACGCCTTACCTTCCTACTTAAATCATCTAAACAACCTTATTCTGTGGCGACATTTACCCCCTGCTGTGGACTGGAGACAATACGGTAATATTTGATTTTTTTATGCATTGTAACTGATTACTTCCAAAGAACAATATTTCTTTTAGTGAAGATTTTTTTTATTGTGAAAATACTGAAAAGAACAATATATTTTAAAGTAAAAGAAACAGAAAGGTTTTTATAGGAAAGAAAAGCGCAATGGGAATATTTCTATTAGCAGCCAATCATGTATAAAGATTTACAAAGTCAAAGGTTCTGTCTTTACATGTGTGTCATTAAATATCTAGCTTCCTCGAAACCTTGGCCTCATTTATAAAAGAGAGCTCTATTACTCCGTTAATGGGAATGTAAGTTTGTTCAACCACTCTGGAAAGCACTATGGAGGTTCCTCAAAAAACTAAACAGAGCCACCCTGTGATCCAGCAAAATTTATCTAATAGAGCACAAGCAAGGCCACACAAAATCTACCAGCACAGCTATGCTCATTGCAGCATTATTTATCACAGCCAAGATAGGGAATCAGCCCAGATACCCCTGAATGGATAAATGGAACAAAGAAATGTGGTATATATACACAATGTACTTCTACACATCCATCAGAAATAATATTATTTTATCCATAAGACAATGGAAAGATTTGGAAAAAGAATTATATTAAGCGAAGTAATCCAGACCCAGAGAAACATAGGTTGCCTGTTTCTTTTTATTTTATGGTAGCTAGAATGTGCCTATAAATCTTACCACACTTGGTGGTAAGCAAGGGGTAGTAAATGAATTAACTGAAGTGTAATAGACTCTATGGAGAGCACACGTAGTATAATGATTTTAAAAAAGATGAAATCAAAGCCCAACGAAATAAGTATCAGGAACTGAGCACTTGCAAGAGGGTAGGAGTTGGGCCAAGGGGGAGAAAAATAGAAGAAAGAAGATGGAAATGTGGAGAGTGCAGGCAAGAATTCATTGTATAGACCACAGAACTGGAAAACAGAAGGGCAGGGGTGGGCAGAAGGAGGATGAAGATGTTGAAGTTGTGACATAGATCAAGATGCACTGTACACATAAACTGCTTTATTAAAAGGCAAAATGGTCACTATATAACTTAAATTTAGATAAGCAAAGGAAAGGGTATGTTGGGAGGGGGAGAATGTTGAGCAGGGGGACATTTATCAAGATATACTGGAGTTATAAACTGCTTTGGTGAATGGAAATTCCTTTTCACAACTATTTAAAGATTATAAAAAATATTTAAAGGATAGAACAAAAGGTAAGTCAAAGCCTGGCACTGGTGGGTCATACTTGTAATCCTCAGTACTCAGGAGGCTGACATCTAAGGATCTTGATTTGAAGCCATCCTGAGAGGAAAAAAAATCTGTGAATCTCTTTCAATTATTCATTCCCCCCAAACAAAGCTGGAAGTACAGTTTATGGCTCAACTAGTAGAGTACAAGCCTTGAGCAAAAAAGGGAAAGGACAGAGCCAAGAGCCTGAGTTCAAGTCCCAGAACCAGCAAGAAAAAGAAAAAAGCCCAAAAAAGATGACTTGAGAATTCTTTCCTAAAATTATTTTATGACTCTACTCTCTTACAAAAGCAAGAATAAATTAGCTATTGGTGGTATTAGGAATTGAACTTAGGGCCTCATGCTTGCTGAGCAAGCAATCTCTACCGTGAGACCGATGTCTCTAGCCCATAACTTGACTTTATTTTTGTCCATTGAGGGGCTTGAACTCAGAGCCTGGGTGCTGTCCTTGAGCGTCTTGATGTTCAAGGTTAGTGCTCTACTATTTGAGTCACAGTGCTACTTCCAGTGGTTAATTGGAGATAAGAGTCTCACAGGTACTTTTCTGTCTGGGCTGGCTTTGAACTGTGATCCTTAGATCTCAGCCTCCTGAGTAGCTAGAATTACAGGTGTGAGCCATAGACACCTGGCTCATAAATTTTTTAAAGGATAGTATTGATATTATTTTGCAGTAGAGAATAGAGACCACTTTAGTACTGTCACTATTGAGAAGGTGAATACTGTAATTTGATTTATGCTGGGTCTTCAACTTGTCACTTGATCACTATTGATGACTTATGCTTTCTTAGTTTGGTAAAAGACTTTGGTCCTTTTCTGGAATGGAGAGTTAATTATTGGTTTAAAGGAGTGTTCATTTGCTTTAGTTGAGTGAGTAAGTTATAATTTGTCAATTTAACTCAGTTCTTTTAAAATAAGACAGAAAAAACCTAGGTAGTGTAAAGCATCACAAAATATATCCATCATAATTTATTTGCAAACTATATTTATTGAAACATTAATTAACATGTAAATTAATGCTAAGTAATTATTGTAATATGCTTTCACCTTCCTTCAAACTTACTCAGTTTTTCCCATTAGTTTTCATTTCCCTAGTATGTGTGTGTGTGTGTGTGTATGTGTGTGTGTGTGTGTGTGTGTGTGTGTGTGTGTGTGTGTGTGTGTGTGTGTGTGTGTGTGATGTTGGGGATTAAACTCAAAGCTTCTGTATATAATAGTCATTATATAGCTAATCTATACCCTTAGTCTGCTATCAAGTTTGTTTTTGTTTTTGGTGTGGTGCTGTTGCTGGAGTTTGAACTCAGGAATTGAGCACTGTCCCTGAACTTCTTTTGCTCAAGCCTCTCTGTACTTCTGGCTTTTTTGGTAGTTTTATTAGAGATAATAGTTTATGGAGTTTACTGCCTGAGTTGGCTTCAAACCACAATCCTTAGACATCAGCCTCCTGAGTAGCTAGAATTATAGATGTGAGCCACCAACACTGAGCTTACTATCATGTTTTTAATAAAATAAATTTATTCTGTGTTACTCTAGTAATTTTACTAATAATGAGTAGCATAAACCATTAAAATATGTATGGCTAAGAAAATTACCAAACAAGTTTTAAGTCAGATGTACTAGAGACAAAATAAGTTTATGAAATATACAATATATTCATTAGTATTCATTAAATAAAATACCCTAGTTTATGAAATACAGTATGTATTCATTAGTATTCATTAGGTAAAGTACCCTAATTTTTAATTTTTATCTCAATTTTTGTAAGCTAAGCAATGTTTGCCTTCTTTACTGATTAGAAAGCTGATATTAAAAATATTAACTAACAGTTCTAGCTGTGAGTAAATTTGGCTCTGGAGTGAGCCATGACTGGTGTCTAACTTTTGCTGGTAACAAATCTTCACTGTTCCATGAAACTGAGAGATTATGTCTCATGGACATGCTTCATGGGTAAGGAGCCATTAACAGTGGACCTTGAACAATAAGCTGATGGTTGAAGTCTGAAAGCCATTCAGAGGCTTAGCACTATGAGTAAAATGAGCACTATGAGTAAAATAGTCATGTATAGAGAGATCATTGTCAATCTCTCTGGAAAGACTGAAGTCAAATTATGCTTCACATTGATTGATGACGTAAGGACTATAGACATTGGTAGTGGTCAGTAGCTAGTCTTTCTCAGTTTTTGGGGATAATGACAGAATCAGCATTGTGGGTTAGAATGAATGATCTGGAAGCCAGGAATTAAGGCAGGTGGGGTGGGGGAGGGTGGGAGATGGGAAAGGATGGAAAGGGGAAACAAAGGAGGAGGCAACAAAGCTTGATAAGAACTGTACTCACTACCTTGCCCATGTAATTGTGACCCCTCTGTATGCTATTTTCACAATAAAAAAAGGGAAGTTATTTTCAATCTAGGGCCTATTGGAAAAACATCTCATAATTTAGAGGTAACATAGGCAAGGCTAGGGTAAATCTGGAGAAAACACATGATAAAAATAGAAACAAATGAGAGAAGAGTTGATGTAGAGAGGACAGGGAAAAGAAAGGACTTCAAATTTGAACTCATCCATCTGAGCTTTATATATCGAAGGACTGACTGCTCAGGGCTGACGGCATTGTAAGAGATGTGAGGAGCGGAGGCAACTTCAAGGAAGCAGCAAAGTGGGGTTGATTCATACATACACATGAAATTTTGCGAGAGGATTCTGAGCAGAGATGCTGCAATCCTCCGTGGGAGGAAATCTTGGCACAAACACCAGGCGAGAACAGACTTTCAAGTAGAAGGGCAGGAAACATGGCAAAACACTCGAGCCATTCAAGGATTTTGTTGGCAACCTCCAGTAGAGTTGTAGACACATAAATCAGAATAGAAGGAATAAAACAGAAAAGACGAAAGACTTAAGAATTTAAACAATAAAGCCTTCTGCTTTGTGGATGTTTGACTGTAAAGAAAGTGTGTGTGTGTGGGGGGGGGCCTGGGAAGGTGGCTCAGTGGTAGAGTGCTTGCCTTGCATACATGAGGCCCTGGGTTTGATTCCTCAGCACCACATAAGCAGAAAAAAGCCAGAAGTGGCACTGTGGCTCAAGTGGTAGGGCATTAGCCTTGAGCTGAATTGCTGAAGGACAGTGACAAAGCCCAGAGTTCAAGCCCCATAACTGGCAAAAAAAAAAAAAAGAATAAAATAAATAATGGGAGTACTGGACAGGCTGATGAGATAAGGCATATTCTGAACATCCAGAATAAATATGTAAAGAAAACTGTGAATAAAAACCTGGAAAGAGGCAAACAAAGAATATAAATGAAGAGTTTTATCTGGAAACAGTGTTTGTTTGCAGGATGGCCAGAATTTTATAGAGGGCAAGAAATAAAACATTATTTAATCTCATTTTTAATAAAAGTATAAGGACAATGTAAGTCTAAAAAATCCAACATTAGCCTGCTTTAAAAATGAGAATCTGCTCCTGTTGTATCTCCTCTCTCAAGTCATATGAAGTTCTAATATATTCCATTGAAAAATAAGCACCAGTATTAAGGCTGAGGTAAAGAAGATCTTGAGTTTATTGCCAATCTGGGATAGAGAGAGAGAGAGAGACCCTGCCAAAAAATATAAGGAAATACAGAAAGAAAAGAATGAAGGAAGGAAGGAAAATAGAAAGCAAGGAAGGAATACAAATGAAAAGGCAAAAGAAAAGTAAGCATAAATAAATCATATAAAAATAATAAAGTGACCTAAACTTGACATGCCATATCAGACA